TTGCCTGTAGGTAAGTCTGTGGGGCTTTTTCCTGATTAATGATTGCCATGGGAGGGCCCAGCTCATCATCGTTGTGGGTGGTAAGGGAAGCTGGGGTATATAAGAAAGCAAACTGAGCAAGCCCTGAGGAGCCAGCAAGGAGGCAGGGTCCTCCATGGCTTCTGCTTCAGTCCTGCCAGGGCCCTGCTTTGAGTACCTGCCCTGACTTCCCTCAGTGATAGCGTCCCGAGAGTTGTAAGCTGAAATGAACCCTTTTCTCCCCAAGTTGCTTTTGTTCGTGGTATTTTCCACAGAAATAGAAACCCTAAGACACTACCCATCCCTCATCTGGGGTGTCCGGGAGGAGCAGGCTGTGCGCCAGGCAGCCTGTGTCCTTCTGTGGTCTTCACTGGCACAGCTCAGTGCATCCCTCCCTCCCCTGCTAACTCCTCGAAGAGCAGGGGGAAGATTTCCATGTTGCCAACCAGCCAGGGGTTCTGCTGTCACCAAGTTAAATCTGCAACTCTGTTGCTTTCATTGCAGACTGAGATTTTGAAACCCTTCTCACGCACCTGCTCCCAGCATAGAAGGGATGTCCTTGAACTCAGAATTCTAACCATTTAGAAATGACTTGTTGGGCCTGTGAGATAGCTCACCAGGTAAAGCGTGCTTTCTGTAGACCCTGCAGACTGGAGTTTGATCCTGCAGACCGCATGGTAGAAGGAAAAAGCTGACTCGCAAGTTGTCCTCTGACCCACATGTGCTGCGGCATGCCTACAGCTGCATACATAATAAATAAATAAAAATGTACTAAAGGGAAAAGTAAGGGAGCTGGAAGATGGCTCTGTGGTTAAGAACACTTGCTGAGCCAGGCAGTGGTGGTGCACACCTTTAATCATGGCACTCGGGAGCAGGGACAGGTGGATCTCTGAGTTCAAGGCCAGCCTAGACTACAAATGAGCCCAGGATAGGCCAGGCTACCCAGAGAAACCCTGTTTTGAAAACAAAATTAAAAAAAAAAAAAAACCCAAACAACAACAGAAAGAATACTTGCTGCTCTTGCAAAGGACTTAAGCCCAGTTCCCAGCACTGATGAGGGCACTTAAACATTTAGCCATCTTTCTAGTCCCTAACTCACACAATTAGAAAGAAAACAGTGGAGAATATTCATAGAAAAATGGAGACATTATCATTCATAACTACACCTTTGTGTTCTATGTATTTATTTAACAGTGTACATACATGAACTTCTGGATTAAGTGTGTTCCCTTCATGAGCATAACTTTTAGGGCTGTACAATATTCCTTCAAGAAGATAGATGATAGTTAACGTCGGGAAAAAGACAGAAAGGAAAGATGGCTACACAAAGCCTTTTCTCTTAGGGATTAATTTAAGGGGTTGTCGGTCTGGTAAGCCCTAATTCTGACCTTCAAGGCCGCATGAAAGAACCTGGTTACCAGCAGAGCAATTCCCTAACAAACGGTTTCAACTGTAGCCAGGCAAGGTGTCCAGAAGAGGGGGGAGCTACAACAGGACAGCCTTGTGTGACAGTAGCCACCTGCTGTCCTCAAGGAGCGAGCTCTCCGCTTCGAACTGAATTATGTACTAAGTAAGACTGTGACTTATACTGCTCAAGGAGAAAAACCTCTTTAGTCAGTAAACAAACATTGCTACTATTGTTTTGTTTTTTGAGACAGGATCTCTCTAGCTCTGTCTATCTTGGAACACTATGTAGACCAGGCCGACCTCAAACTCACAAAGATCTGCCTGCATCTACGTCCTGAATGCTGAGATCACACCTGACTCAGGCTAGTCTTGAACACACAGGGTCACGTAATCCTTCTGCCTGGGCCTCCCGAGCAACTGAGATCATAGGCGCGTGTGTAACCTTAGAAGCTGTCTTAAAATGAACCTGTGTTGTCTTGTCGTCTACAGTTAGGAGGCTCCACAGCTTGGCGAACTCTTCTTTTTCATTATTCTTCATCCTGCCATCAGCTGTGCCCGCAGGGGCTGACACTGTCACCTTCTGAGGCAGCACCCACGGTTCTCATCACTGCCCCCTCTCTCTCAGCCCTCTCTGGGCTTTTTTACCTCTCAAATCTCTCAGGCCTTCCTTCTCACCCTTAGCACTGGGTGCTACCTGTGGCCCAGCCGCTCTATTAACAGCGCTTGGAGCCTGTGAACAACACCAAAGCCAACACCAAAGTCACAGGCAGTCTGCCCCTAGCCACCACCTTTTCAGAGCAGACAGACTCCACCAGCTGTCACAGCTGGAAGTTCGGTGGGGTAACTGCCTTGTTTCACCCAGGCCCCCTTTGCCATTCTGCAAACTACAGCCTGTTCCTGGAAGCTTGTCTTCCTGTCTAGAATGTTCTCCGTGGACCTCTGTCCAACTCAGATCCAACAGAGATCTCCCTTCTGACAGCCTTGACTTCTTCCAGCTACATCGTCCCATCACCATCCATCACAGCCAGCTGTGTGGCACATGCCCACTACCACCCTGGAGGCTGAAGCAGAAGGATCACCAAGAGTCTAGGGTAGCTTGGGCTATACAAAATACACCTTGCCTCAAAAAAAGGCAGGAGAAGGAAAAAAAAAAAAAAAAAAAAAGAAAAACATTCAATTAGGAACTGCTTCTTGGGACAACTTGATTTCGCAAGTGGATTTGTCTTCAGCGTGGATAATGTTCCCTAGGGTGCTAACTAGCCTGAGGCCGCTCTGCTCTAAGCAGGTTTCCCACGTGTGTTGAGTGAGTGTGGCCTGAATCTTCTGAACCAGAGTGGGGGGCTTAGTGTCTGGAGCCTGTGTGCAAGCCAATTCAGCATCAATTGAATGCTCATTTGTAAGTGACTGGGTATGGAATTAACCCTATTTTTACATCCCTTGTGGTATGCAGAGATAAACTCCAAGCATTAATGTGTCAACCCCTTTGCGACTTTCCAGTGAAGGGATAAATGCAAACAGGGACCCTCAAACTGGATGCTAATTACTGGAAATCCTCCAGGGCCCAGCCAGCCTTACAACGCTAAAAACAGTTTTTATCTGCCAGTTTTTATCTACCAGTTTCTAGCGAGCACATCAGAAAAGGAAAGCAAAGCCAGTTGGTATGGGCAGGGTGCTGGCCATCCTTTTTGGGCCCACGGTTCCTGTGGAAGGTCTTAGTGACTGGCAAGGGTGTGCTGAGCCAGCCCCGCCTAGAGCCAGTGGAGTGGCCTAGGGGCCTGAGCCTCCGTGTGTGACCTCTGTCCTCCATGGGGCCAATGCACCCACTCTTGGCTGCTTATTTCCCTTGATCTAAAATGTTGCATATTGCAACTCTGGGAGGGAAGGGGGAGGATCAAATGGATCCCTAAACCCCTGGCCCTTCCAGACTCTGATGCCTCTGGGTGTAGCATGGGTGGCCGTGCCGTGGGCTCCTAGGATCTGTAATAGCATCAAGCCAGATACTGTTTATCTAAACACCAATTAGAAACTGCCTGGAACTGAACACAGGCAGGATGGGCCCATGCAGCCACCTCAGCGGAGGCTGACTGTGGCTCGCCTTGTACTTTCTCAGGGACTCTGCACATCTTGGAACAGTCCAGTCCTCTAACCTCCGTTCTACAATGGAGACTTGAGGTTTGCTGTCATTGGCAGTGGCAGAACAAGCCGACAGGCTCCTGAGAGACTACTTCTCTGAGTATCTCTGAGTATCTGTTGGCTGCAGCAGGGTGAGGCCATCAGTAGCTCAGCATGCATGCCACCTCGGGTTCAGTATGAGCCTTTATTTCTGTATTGCATCTATTTCTTTATTGTGGATGTGTCTGTCACTTGTGTGGAGGTCAGAGGAGGGCTGTGGTTGCTGCAGCTCTCTGCTTCCAACATTTGAGTCTCAGATTGGAATTCAGAACTCAGGTTGGGCCGGAAGTGTCATCACTCACTGGGCCATCTCAACAGCCCTTTAAGAGCACACTCTTTGGAGCTGGAGATTAAACTCAGTGCTTACCAAGAATGCACAAAGCCCGGGATTCAGTCCCCATTGCTGAATAAACTGGGTGCGGGAAGCCTTCACCTCCCTTCTGAGTTAAAGGAAGGAGGATAAGACGTTCAGGGTCATCCTTGGCTGCATAGGAAGGTCAAGGGCCCATCCTGGGCTAGAGACTCTGTCTCAAAGTAACAAAACGAACTCACCGCCCAACCTTTTTAACCCATGCAGTGATGTCTCTCCTGAAGCAGGGTGAACCGTTTTGACTTTGCCAGGATGGGAGGTATGCCAGGGTGGCTGTGGCTAAGTGACTTGAGGGCCTGTGAGCATGTCTGAGAGGGGCAGCGTAGACCGCAGCTCACGTGCTTATCGGATGGTTTCGGCTGGCAAAGTTCTCTTTGATGCTTGGAAGACACAAACTCATTTTTAAAACCAGTCTTTAGTAATCATTTCTCTTCAAGTTTTTCTGAGATGTAAAAGCTTGAGGTCTCCAGCTGGTTCTAGAGTTTCTACCTCTGCTAACGCTTCTCTCTGCTGCTGGACCCCTCTCCACTTCAGGGACCAGGGACCAGGGTCCTACCATCGAGGAAGTCAAATGGAAACTTAAGAGGTCGGGAAGTCGGAAATGAAGGTGTGAAGGTGGCGAGGAAGAAGTTTAGGCTTTAAGACCGGAACCTCCTGGTTCCTGCTAGACCAATCTGCAGCTTTTGCAAACAGCCTTAATGCCATCAGCGCCCCACTGAGGAATTCAAAGCTCAGCCTGTCACAATTAACACCTTTGAGCAGCCTCTTCCTATTTGACAGTTTTTCCTCTTCTGCTTCTCTCTCTTGCCACCGGGAAAGCTCCGTGGTTTTAGGGAGTCCCCTCACATAGCTGGCCGCCCCTCGGCGAGCAGAAGTCGGGGGAAGATCCGCTGAGCTAGCCAGCCTGCAGGGTGAGTGGGTTTCCTGGCTTCGGGAGCGGGGCGTGGGGGCGGGGCCGCGCAGGAACGATTCACGGGTCACATGGAAAGTTCACGGCACTTCGGGTTCTGCGGACAATGAGCACCTCTCCAAGGCCGCCGGCCCGGAGGTGGGCGCAGAGCAGCTGAGCCTTGGGCGGCGCTGGGGGTTGCCCCTTCCCCGGAGGGCTCGGAGGCCGTGGAGACGGAGGGGCTGCGCCCACGGGGGACCCCGGGTCGCCCTCCCACTCCTGCCAACTTTCCCGGCCCCGGGGCCGGAGGAGGGCGCCTTTCCTGGCGGGTCGCAAGCGCTACTTAAGGCGGCTCGGCCGGGCCGGCGGCCGTCAGTCGGAGCGCGCGGCGGCACCGCAGAGGCGGCGGCGGCGGGAGCCGGAGGAGGGGCATGGAGCCGCCGCGGGCCTGCTGAGCACCGGGCGCGGGGAGCCGGCGGCACGGTGAGCGCATCCCGGGGGCGGGCGGCGCCTCCCGCCTGCCGCGCCCCGGGGACGGCGGGGCTTCGGGCGGCCGGGGCTGCGGCCGCCCTCTGCCTCCAGGCGGCGGTCCCCGCGGCGCGTTCCCCGCCGAACCCTCCTCCCTTTCTTCCAGCATCCTGGGCTCCCGCAGCCTCTCCTTCTCCCTTCCTCCCTTGCGGCTCTTGTTTTGTGAATGAAGGGGGGGGGGGGGGGGAGTGCGAGGCCAGAGTGCCCCTCCCCCCACCCGCGCCCGCTGGGGCTTCGCACCTGCGGGGACACCCAGCTCGCCAGGGATCTGGTCCACGCAGCACATGTCTGTGAAATGCCCCCCGCCCCGCGCTTGCCGGTTAAGCGGGGTCCGAGGGCGCCCAGGCGGCAGCCGCGGAGCTCCAGCGGCCGGTGCAAGTTTCTGTACCGTCCGCGCGTGGGCCGGCCGCGGGGCGCACCTGTCAGCGGGGGAGGCTGCGAAGCTTGCAGCCCCTCAAAGTTTCCCGGCTGGGTGGGGAGGTGTGCGTCCTTGTCGGGAGGTTGTTCTTTCCTGCCGCTGTACGGGACAGCGATCTCCTGCGGCGTGCCCAGCCTCGTGCCCTTGAACCGGAGTGCAGTGCGCCTTAGCTAGCCTGGGTCGGGCTCTCTCGGATCTCCTCTGCGGGGATGGGGGAAGACGCCCCGGGTGTAAGATCACACTCTCTCGTCTACCGGCTTGGGGAAATACAGTCCCCGCTCTGCGCAGAGGACATCAACAAGAGCCCGCACCGGAGCCTGGCTGCGCCCAGGCTGTCCGGCTGCAGAACCTTCTTGGGCTTTCTGTGGGGAGGTGGGTACAAAGGTAGCGCCTCTTAATTCCTCAGTGGGAGGGGTCTGGCTCGCAGATGGAGGGGACTGGCAACTGCGGGGATGCAGCCTTTGTTTGCAGGCACTCTTTCGCCAAGGTACCTGGGGCCCTGGGAAGATGAGTCGGGCCTGGGCTGGCAGTTATTTCTTGGGTTTTCTGTTCCTTCTCTGCTGGGTCGTGGGAAACCGGCACGTGGGTGTGGCTGTGTGGCCGTAGCCAGCGGGGCGAAGCTCAGGCAGGGTGAGGAACGTGGCGAGAGCTTCCGTAGCTGCCTTGGACCTGACCGGACAGCCTCGGGAACTGCACCGAGGCGGGGCGCCAGGGCGCAGGTTGCTGGGCTGCCCACGGCACCTCCTGTCCCTTCCCAGAACGTGGCGGGCAGCGGGGCCCGCAGCGTCCCTCACGCTGCAGCTCTGGAGGGGGACCGGGCAGGGGTCGTCCGCCTAGGGCTCCCTAAGCTGGGTGTGTGCAGGGAGAGCCGGGAGCAAGCATGCTGCGGCTCCCGGGCTTGTGGGGCAGAGCCCAGAGGCCAGGCTTCCCGGAGAGGCCAAGCTGCCAAGAGCTCTTTCCAATCTATATTGCTGGAAGAATGCTTTTGCGGATTTAAGCGGAGACTGTTTCTCACCCACTCTATGTGAGGGGTGTCCCTGGCAGCCAAGTCTGTTCCTGTTGGGATGGGGCCCGCCCGGTTTCAGGGAGACCATAGCTGAAGCAGGCTTGGAAGTGAGAGGTCATTGTCTGAGACAAGGGTGGAAATGGATTCTTCAGATGAGACAGGTACCAAAGAGTCAGCGGTGGAGGGCAGCCTCTCTTTACCCTCCCTGCTTCATCATACCCTCTTCCACCTGGGAAGCCCTTGAGGGCTAATATGCATCCATTTTTAGGGAAATTACCTGAGATCTGAGAAGATTAGCTAATGAGCTTCACTCATTAGTGCGCCTCCAGGGACGGGGATACTGAGTCTTTGGGCAAGGTCAGGTAGCCAGGAGGCGGGGGGGGGGGGGGGGGGGGGGGGGGGACGGGGGGTGTCCAACCCTTGGTCTCTGATGCCAAGTCCTGGGCTCCGCTCATTAAAGCACAGCTGTTCCCAGGGCAGGTGCTAGGAACCCCAACTTAGGAATCTGCACTGCTGGCCTGGGCGGCTGGGCAGGGGACATGTGGAGAGCCTACCGGGGCACTAGGACCAAGTGGGCGGGGCTCCCGCAGCCATCTCCGCAGCGCTTGCAGCAGCTCTCTCTGGCTCTCTGCTGGGCTGGCAGCAGAGTGCCCACGCTCCCACTCTGACCTCCCCCTCTCCCGTCAGTCGGTTTACCTCCTGGCCTTTTCTCCTGCCTCTCAACTAAAACAAACAACAACAAAACTAGTAACAAAGCAAAATGGAAATAATTTGTGTCTGTCAGCTCCACACCCCTTTTACGTTCCCTGCTCCCGGCTCTCCATGGGCCTTTAGCTATGCTGTTACAGAGGAACAGGCCCCTTACTAGAGTGCACCGCCCCTCGAGGTGGTGACTTCGGGCCCAGGGCTGCCTCCAGACCCCTCCCCTCCCACGCCGTCTATGGAGCTGTCTCCTCTGGGCCCTGTGTCCCCATCAAGAGCTTTGGCTCAGGCAGGTCACAGTCTACCAGATCCCGGGGACTAGCCTACGTTAGCCTTTGGTTTGTCTATGAACAATGCTATTTTACTTCCCTCACATGACAGCATGCTGCGGGGTTAGTAGCATAACACATTCTACAAGTCAAAAAGCAGCAAAGGGATCAGATAGAAATGGTGGAACTGGGACCTGCGCCCTAGCAGTTTACCTCTGAGTTTCCATATGTCTTAGCCAAGCTCAGTAAGTGATAATGGTTTTTACTGGTGGGTCATTTCTCTTGTGCTGGGACCATCTCTGAGAATGCTCTAGTTCTTTTGGTGGGAATGATGCCCCTGCCTGACCCACTGTCTCTTCTCTTCTGTTCTCAGATGCCGGTGCAGCTGGCTACAGCCCTGCGTGTGGTGGGCACCAGTCTGTTCGCCCTGGTGGTACTGGGGGGCATCCTGGCGGCCTATGTGACAGGCTACCAGTTTATCCACACAGAAAAGCACTACCTGTCCTTCGGCCTTTACGGTGCCATCCTGGGCCTACATCTGCTCATCCAGAGTCTGTTTGCCTTCCTGGAGCACCGGCGCATGCGCACAGCAGGGCGCCCGCTGAAGCTGCACTGCTCTCAGAGGCAACGCTCAGTGGCACTCTGCATCGCTGCCTACCAGGAGGACCCTGAGTACCTGCGCAAGTGCCTGCGCTCGGCTCAGCGCATCGCCTTCCCAAACCTCAAGGTGGTCATGGTAGTGGATGGCAACCGCCAGGAAGATGCCTACATGCTGGACATCTTCCATGAGGTGCTGGGTGGCACTGAGCAAGCTGGCTTCTTCGTGTGGCGTAGCAATTTCCATGAGGCAGGTGAAGGGGAGACGGAGGCCAGCCTGCAGGAAGGCATGGAGCGTGTGCGAGCCGTGGTGTGGGCCAGCACCTTCTCATGCATCATGCAGAAGTGGGGAGGCAAGCGTGAGGTCATGTATACAGCCTTCAAGGCCCTTGGCGACTCAGTGGACTACATCCAGGTAAGGCTCCCTCCCTAGAGTGTGTGCACAGGGCACATGGAGCCCTCTGGGCATCCCCTCCCCCAGCAACTTTTAGATCTGGTCTTGGTGTCCCAGCCATCCCTCCTCCCCCCTAAACAAGGCATAATGATTCTGAAGAAACGCCAGGGTTGACCAAACCTCGGCTGTGGTTCTGTCGTTAAGTGGGCAGACCAGACCACTGACCCGGTTCCCCATGGCAACAGCAGCAAAAGCTGCACAGCACTGACTTCACAGGGCACTGCAGGGCTGCTTCAAAGTCCATTCTAACCCTTCCATAGCTCGGCTGGCGAGTATCGCTCTGAGCACACAGCAAGGAGGTAAAACAGAAGTTTAGAGAATAACTTGCCTAATGTCAAAAGCTGGTAACAGTGCAGACCAGAATGTCAGCCAGGCAGCTTATCCGAGGCTGGTGTTAGCCCTTGTGACTAACTACTAGACACAGTGACTAAACAGCCTAAGAAGTTTGAAAAGGAGTCTAGAGCAATGGCTCCGCAGTTAGGAGCACTGGCCATTCTAGCGGACCCACCTTCAGTTCCCAGAACACACTGGCAGCCAACAACCTCTACAGCTTCAGTTCCAGACAATCTGACACTCTCTTTATTCCCTTTGCAGGCAATGCATGTGTGTGATGCAGATTTACATGTAGACAACACACCCATAATCATAAAACAATTTTTAATGATTTTTAGTCATTTTTAATGAGTAAAAGGACCCTGCTAAAAGCCACTCCATGTTGAGTTAGGACCACAAAGTCCCTTCTTCCTAGTGTGAAATTTGTGTCCGACACAGCAGCTAGAGGGACTCAGGTGTATGAATGTCCAACTTCCTTTTCCAGTGTTGGCACAGCTGGACTCTAAACAGATCCTGCCCAGATCCTGATCAAGTGGTCACGGGCACCAGCCTAGAAATTCTATTAGACCGGCATGATTTACGTCGCTTAAAATTTCAAATAGCAAACTGGAAAGAAGGGGAAAGATTACAAGTATACACTTTAGTACCAAGTAGAAACAGGCAGTTCAGCTGCCCAGGTTCTGGTGCAGAATTCCTCACGGCCTCTTGTGACTTCCACACTTACCAAAGGGTTCTGCCAACTGTTCAAAAACACCTCAAAGAACAGTGGCTGTTTTAATAGCCACTGTGCACTGTCTTCATGTTTAGTCCTTGAATGCTATTCAGTTTGGGGGCATTTTTGTTGGGTGGAGGTAGTGTTTTAAAGTTATCCTTGTATGTGAATTGACCTGTTTGTCTTTCCCCAATTTAATGGACCGAGGCATTTAAGGAGGATGTGACTAGAAGGGTGTTTGATCCAGCAGTTTACCTGGGGCTTTGGGGTCTTTGTGAAATTTCCCTTAGAACCCAAAAGCTTTTGGTCTTGAAAACTGCTCAGGCAACAGTAACTACATCACTCCAAGGAATCAGCCGTCCCTGGAAGCATGGGAGTCAACCAAACATGCTTTGCCCTCCCTGATCATCCGTGTATTCAAGGGGCCTTCACATCACACAAAGCCATGCTCTACACGCAAAGTCCTGAGCTACTACCTAAGGCAGGCCTGGGCTACAGACAGCCTTCCAAAAAAGCCCTGCTAAAGACACATCTGGCCCTCTGTAGGAAAAGGCCTTACCCAGACAGGGGGGGAAGCCCAGGTAGAAATTGCTCTTCCTTCCCCAAGTCTGCATATGCCGGACTTCCCTGGAGTGAATGAAGCAAAGGAGCATACAGAATGGGTTAGAGCTGCTCACTGAGCCCACACTAGCACCATTGAGCAGCAGGCCTTTAAACTGAGGAGGCTCCCTGAATCTGGCTGTAGGCTCTCTGGGACCTTCCCCAGCTCTAGTAGGACATAAGTCTGGTGGGGAGAAGAGAGGAAGTGGAACTGGTGCTGATGCCTATGCCAGTTCCCTCTAGCCTTCTGCTGCTTCTTTGTGCCACCCTGTCTTCTAACGTGCAGAGCCAGGAAGCCCCCGGCGCAGGAGGCAACCCTCTCAGCTGGCTAATGGGCTCTTACCTAGCAGTTTTGTTTATTTTTGGTTCTGAGGGCCTATGCCAGCAACTTTAGTAAAAGCTTTGACTGAACAGAATGAGTTCATCTGCTCTGAGAACAGTGACCAGGGCCCAGTTAGGTTAGTAAACCAATTTCCTACCCAATGGAATACCAAAGCTTTTTCAGTAACTTTAAAAAGCAGACAGAAAAGACTGATCATGGTGGCTCACACTTTTAATCCCAGCACTCAGGAGGCAGAGGTAGCCAGATCTCTGTGAGTTCAAGGCCAGCCTGGTTTACATAGCATTCTACCAGAGCTAGGGGTACACAGAGAAGCCCTGTCTCAAAGGAAGGAGGAAGGAAGGAAGGGAGGAAGGGAGGAAGGGAGCGCGCGCAGGTAGACTCAGTCTATCACAGGACTGTAGGTCCGTCGGGCCAGGGATTGAAATGAGAAGACTGCTAACAAACTGCCTATTGGATCCTCAGCAGCAGCCCTGACATCATCTGGCTCTCTTCTTAGCCTTGTGATCCCTCAACTGTCCACCAGTGTCCTTTCCCCTACGTCCCTTGTTTTCCCCTCTTCTTTTTTACCTAGCTTAGGGTGGTCTGCTGGACTGACTGAGTGCTCAGGCTCCTCAGGCAGTATGCCGCGTCCTGAAGCGGGAGGCTGCTTGAGTAGGCCCGCGAAGCTAACGGTACACTTCCCTGCAGGTGTGTGACTCTGACACCGTGCTGGACCCAGCCTGCACCATCGAGATGCTTCGAGTCTTGGAAGAAGATCCCCAAGTAGGGGGTGTTGGAGGAGATGTCCAAGTAAGATGTAACCAGGGGTCTCTTGGGGTTTGGAGCTGGACCTTTTGTTTCCAAACCCAGTAGGATATGCTGGATATTCATTTCAGTAGGAAATGAATCTCTTGATATACAGTTATCTGGAGAGAACTTTGCCTGATAGTTTTCGATGGTCTTCAAGGGGTTCACTTCACTGACTGCCCAATTCATTTCCTGCTCTTCTTAAACTTGAGGGAAGAGTTAGGAAACTTGAAGAGGGGGCTGAAAAGATGGCTCAGCTGTTAAGATCATGCTGCTCTTACAGATGGCCCAGATTCCGTCCCCAGCATCCACATGATGGCTCACCAAGGGCCACAGCTGCAATTCTAGGGGATCTGGTGCCCTCTTCTGGCCTACAAGGGCATACATGCCAGTGATGCACAGACATGCAGGCAGCGCCACACAGAAGTTAAATGAAAAACTTTTTTTTTTAAAGCCCTTGGATATTGAGGGACACAGGATGTGCCCTGCTACAGGTCTCAGAAAGCACTTCCTTTTGAGTTGACAGTGTAGCAGGTAGCTGTCAAGTTAGTTCCTTGAAAAGCCCATGCATTAGGGAACTCAGGCTAAGGAGCTGTAGGCAGTGTGCCAAGCACACAGCCAAGTTTGTGTTTGTTTGTTTTTGCCAGAGGACACCGCAGGCAGTATGTCATGCCCCAATGGCTTTCCAACTACCAAAGGAGCAAGACAGGCAGAGGGGTTTGGGGTTCTACTTCCTTCCCTAGCCCTGCCCTCTGCCACCACTAATGGCTCTCCTGATAAAGCACCGACTACTGCAGCCGTAACTGGGGCTCTGCAGGGGCCAGAGAGCGAGGTGTTAGAGGGCTATCCCAAGCTTCACTCCTCAGTTCTGGTAGTCCAGAACCAAGGACCAGGCATTTGAGCAATATGCTAGAGAACTCAGGATAGAAAAGCCTCAGATGAACATGGCATCTCTGTTCGCTTACAGATCCTCAACAAGTATGATTCGTGGATCTCCTTCCTGAGCAGTGTGAGGTACTGGATGGCCTTCAACGTGGAGCGGGCCTGCCAGTCCTACTTTGGCTGTGTCCAATGCATTAGTGGGCCTTTGGGCATGTACCGCAACAGCCTCCTTCAGCAATTCCTGGAGGACTGGTACCATCAGAAGTTCCTAGGCAGCAAGTGCAGCTTTGGGGATGATCGGCACCTCACCAACCGAGTCCTGAGTCTTGGCTACCGGACTAAGTATACAGCACGCTCTAAGTGCCTCACAGAGACCCCCACTAAGTACCTTCGATGGCTCAATCAGCAGACCCGCTGGAGCAAGTCTTACTTCCGGGAATGGCTCTATAACTCTCTGTGGTTCCATAAGCACCACCTCTGGATGACCTATGAATCAGTGGTCACGGGCTTCTTTCCTTTCTTCCTCATTGCCACAGTCATACAACTCTTCTACCGTGGCCGCATCTGGAACATTCTCCTCTTCCTGCTGACGGTGCAGCTAGTGGGCATTATCAAGGCTACATATGCCTGCTTCCTTCGAGGCAATGCAGAGATGATCTTCATGTCTCTTTACTCCCTTCTCTATATGTCCAGCCTCCTGCCAGCCAAGATCTTTGCCATTGCCACAATCAACAAGTCTGGCTGGGGCACTTCCGGCCGCAAAACCATTGTAGTGAACTTCATTGGCCTAATCCCGGTGTCCATCTGGGTGGCAGTTCTTCTAGGCGGATTAGCCTATACTGCTTATTGCCAGGACCTGTTCAGTGAGACTGAGCTAGCCTTCCTAGTCTCTGGGGCCATCCTGTATGGCTGCTACTGGGTGGCCCTCCTCATGCTGTACCTGGCCATTATTGCCCGGAGGTGTGGGAAGAAGCCAGAACAGTATAGCCTGGCTTTTGCTGAGGCGTAATAGAACCAAGGGAAGTGGGGAAAGTGCAATGGGTAAGGGAAGGAAGGGGAATGGAAAAGATGGGGTGGGAGGGAGGAGGGAGTGTTGTGCTCTAGTTTCATGGCTGAAAGGACAAATCTGAAGTGCAAAGAATAGTGGCTATGGTGTGGCCTGGGTAGCTCTGTTCAGCAGAAGCCTGACAGATTCTTCAGGCTCAGGACAGATGGCCTTGTATGGATCCAGGCTGCTTGTCTGCTTGCCCTTTCAGTCAGTGAACTCAGAAAAGATTTTACTTTCTTCTGGGAACGCTAAAGAAGCCAGAAGTGCGCTAAACCACGTGCCAAAGTCCATCCTGTGGTAACTTCTGGTACAGAAGCAAACAGTGACAGCCTGTAGGAAAGTGTCCTCCTAGCCCAAGTGAACACGATGAGGTGTAAAAGAAGTTCCTGTCAAATCTGACCAGCTAGTGACCCCTTTCCCCGACCTCCAATTAGCCATCAATGCATTAAGATTGTGCCTGAGATAATAAGGCTGGGAAGCCTGACTTTTGGTCAAAAAACAGGGTCTAAGAAATGGTGCTTTATGTAATATAGCCCACTCCACTCCACATCAAACTATCCCAGGGATGAGCCAAGCCACCACAAGTAAGTACTGAATTTGGTTTCTTTTTTGTTTTGGCGTTTTTTGGTGCATATTAAAAGGGAATGTTTAGCCAGGTGCTGTGGTACACACTTGTAGTCCCAGCACTTGGAACATACACCTAAGAGATCAGAGGTTCAAGGCCAGGCTAGGCTACCTGAGATCCTGTCTTACACATACACAGTTTGACAGGAGAATAAAAAAAACTGTCATGGTGCTGAAAACCATGGAGGCCTTGGACTGAATGTGTTCCAAACTGAAACCTGCTCGGACTTTTATTAAAAGGATCCCAAAGCTGTCAAAAGAGACCTTGCTGGACAGACGAAACGTTTTAGCCATTTACCAGGAAGATCAAACCCCGATGGGTTGTTCTGGCTCAACCCCAATGGTTGTTCATACCTGAATTCCTCTCAAATTCAGCTCTAATCTGAGCTCAGATATGAGATGTGCTACTCACTATTTCATTTCCTTCAAAGGCATGTAGTTCTTGCAAGTTGTTGCTTTCCAGAGGGGGCAGCAGTCACATCTTCATTTCCACAGGCAAATTTCTTCACGTGGTGATGAACACTCCTTCAAGACCTGTAAGGCTGCTCCCTACACACATGGAAGTAACAGCCTCTCTTCATACTGTTCATCAGCTTGGCACCAGCCATTACACTGGCAGCTGTTTAGCATGTGACTTTCTTGACAATCATCCCCAATGGAGACATTTTGGTGTTGTTCAAATGAACCAAGTTGGTCATCTTTGAGACCATCCATTCTCCTCAGTGGCTTCTCCAAGGAATTCTAGGCCACGTAGTAGATACTCTTCCATTTGCTGCTTCAGTCCAGAAACCAAACCAGGAGCTGAACTGGTCCAACAGCCTTCTGTTCTCTCACACCCCTCACGGCTGCTTGATTTTTCTGTTTCTTCTGAGGAGTGATGAGCTTTTTATATTGTTTTCAAACTAAGACCAGACTCCGCTTTGGATTTGAAACCTGGGATCATGACTAAGGCTTTGACTTTATAGGCTGCTTATACTTTTTCAAACATTTGTTCTCAGAGGGGCCAACACTGAGGTGGACAGAAGTGTACACAGGTGCTTCCTACAAAGGAATGAAGTGCACTCTGGACCGTGAAGGGCAATCCTTGGTAGTTCCCTTCTCATGAACACAAGGGCTTTCTGGGTGTAGCTAACAGTTGCCACAGCACACAGACCTCAAGTTTCTAATAAAACTCCCAGCTGAGGTCAAGCCCAATCCATGCTGGTTGGGAAGCAGCAGCCATTTGTCAAAGGTGTTTGCTCTGGGCCCTTCTGCTAAGAAGCGAACTCTTGAAGACTAGCATGGACGCAATCCAGTCAGTCAACCACAGGGCTCCCATATCACTAAGGGCTTTTCTTCAGCTTTTACTTGAACATTAGTACAGGACAGTGGACTCCGGATGAACGCTGACTGTCCCTACCATCAGCTCTTCTGCCTTGCACTGTGGGCAACTTTCTTCAGATTAAAAATGCAGGTACAGTAGTGAGCTCACAACATTTGACCTCGACTGGATTTCTAATTTATTTTATAAGTTTTTTTCTGCAGCAAAACTAAACTGGGTCTGCAGCTGTATCCCTGTTTCTTACAAGGGAAGAACCTTTATACAATTAGACTCATTTTGGTTTTTTTCCTCATTGACAACTTCAGCCGCTTTTGTATTACTTCTACAATTTGTAAACATATTTATTTTTACCTGTTTTCTTTTAAATAAGGAGGGAACTTTATTTAACATTAAGGATGGGGGGAATCAGAGGGGAGGTGGCTTTACTTAGGGATAATGTTCCTCTCATGCTCTTGACGCAGCCATTGAGCACAATGTACGGGCCTTTTGCTTCTTAAGCAAAGTAACAGTGCACAGAGGCGTGCAGCTGGAGCTCATCTTTTTCAGACAAGCTTCTTTATCCACTGCTCTACCTTCACCTTGCCCGTCCCCTTCCTGTAGAAGTAGTGGCATAGCTGCTGGAAATCCCTGATTTGAGTTTCTAGCCTAGCCCATCCATGGGCACAACCTTAATATCAGACTTAGGCCATCCTTATCCTTGAAGTGTTAGATGAAGCCATGGCAGTCCTGCTCTCTGTACTTAATGATCATCTTGTTCTTACTGCTGTACATGGCTAGGGGTGACTACACGGTAGAGTGACATTCTGTTCTGCAGTGTCCAGCAATGGGGCTATAACCAGCCATCTTTTACAAGAAGCTCCTTGTCCAGGAGTGGTGGAGGAAATTGAGAACTCTTGCTTCTACTAATACAGGCTCCCCATGCTCCAGTTCAACTTTCCCCGATTTATTTAGAAAGCACTCTGAGGACATGGTCCTTATTTAACTCAAAGTCCAGGCTACAAAACAAAATCATAGGTTGGAATTCCCCACAAAGTGTAGCAGGACCTCCTCTCGGGATGATCCTTCTCCGGCATCATAATCTCTACCCTTTTTCTCATTGCTCTTCCAGATGCTGTGGTAACTACAGGGGCCATAACCAATGTTCCCACCCCACCCCAGCTGCTTTAGCTCTGCTCGTGCTTCTGTAGCCCTGCATAGCTCCCCTGCTGTCATCCTTCTTGTTGATGTCCATATTCTCTACTCCAGCATCATCTGGAGTGTCATGGGGATACAGGCTGAAGATACTGGCTCCTGTTTCTCCAGGACCACCTATCCACTTTGCTCATCAGTATGAAACCTAAGTCTCCCCTCTGAGACTAATGCTCAGTACTTCTATCTCCTTGAGGACCTTCCCTTTCTGCTTAGTTACCTTAAAGGTTACCATCTCCTTAGGTAGGAGATACTTAGAGGTGAGCTGAGAACCTGCTGACCTTGTAGATGCAGGCTGACCTACTTCTCTGTCAATTCTCATTCACGAGGCTATTGGCAGTATTACCTTAATTTATATGAAGGTGTCTAGCTAGTTCCTCTCCAGTTCCCCATCTTATATGGCTAGCAAAGAGCAAAGTTTTTGCTATGCCAAGAACACCTGCAAAGGCAGCTGGTTAAGGCTACTTCCACAACTCCACATTCTTCTTGGCCATTTTTTTTAATCCTTTTTTTTTTTTAAAGGTTTTTTTGAGCAGGGTTTCTCTGTGTAGCCTTGGCTATCCTGGACTCACTCTGTAGCAGGCTAGCCTCGTACTCAGAGATCCTCCTGCCTCTGCTTCCCAGGTGCTGGGATTACAGGTGTGCACCTGGCTTCTTGGCTAGCTTTTTCTCTACCAGGTTCACATTCACCAGCAGCACATCCACCTGAAGCACTCCTTTGGTCCTTAAAGATCAGTCTCTCCTTAGGGAGGTCCTGCAGGTCTCCTCTACCAGTGTGCTGACGCCTAACTCTTGATCCATCTCACCCAACAGCTTGGTCCTCTCCTCTGCCATGTACTTCTGTAGCTCCTCACTGCCCCGGCTGTGTTGTTGCCAAGGCAGGGGCATTCTCCTGGCTCAGGAATGCTCTTCTCAAAAGGCCACGAGAGTCGACAATGGCCACTCTAAGTACCTCAATTTCTTAACACTGACCTTCAGGAGTTTCAAGCTCAACTTGGCGGGAACTGGCAGTTTCAGTGCTGAAGGAGAGCATATCCTGAGCAATGGGCCCCACGGTCATCTCACTTCTAGTTCCTCCCTGCTCGGAGTACTGTGCAGTGCTTCCAACAACTCCACCTCTGTTCGCTGCAAGTGCCATTCTGGTGCTGTGCTTTGTAGTCCTGACGTTGCTGTGGCCGCCTGATGACCTCCTAGTGCAAAGCTGGCTTCTCTGGGCTGCCACCAAGTCCCAACAACACAAAATGCAAACAATGTCAGCTGACAAGGCAGCCGCCATCCTGTTGCTGGCAAACATGAACGGCTGCTTTTGGCATTGTCATTTTCATTGCCCTTGGAGATTGGCTTTTCTGTTGTTTTCAGGTCAAGAATTTTTTATTGCACTTATCAAAATAAAAACTCTTACATAATGCTGGTGTGTCCATTGCTATGACAAAGTACCAAAGTAAACTTTAAGGAGGAAAGGTTCATTATGGCTCACATTTTTGGTCTATAAATTGACTCTGTTTCTTAGAAACTGCAGGAAAGCAGAGTTAGAGGAAGCCAGGGACACAACATACCCCTCATGACCATGTGCACAGTGACTAACTTTCTTCAGCTGTGCTCTGCCTCCCAAAGTCTGCACTACTTCCCAATGAGTCTCTTAAACCATGACTCTACCAACAGAGCTGCTTCTCCACTGATCGTCCGGAACCATCTCCTACCTGTCAGAGCTGCACTAGGGACCAAGCCTTCAACACATGGGTGTTGGAGTTACAGTTCAGATCTTTAAAACAAAAAACAAAACAAGACAACAGCTGGGATCTCAGAGCCATGTTCTCTTGTACTCAGTAAACCAGCTCTTTAGTTTTAAAAAGCCAAGTGGTATCAGTGGAATTCAAAAGTAGAGTAACAGGCTAGCAAGATGGCCTGGGAGTAAAAGGTACCTACTATCAAGCCCCATGACCTGAGTTCAATACTTGGGTTCCATGTGGTAGAAAAAGAGCACTGTCCTACCCCCAACTGTCCAACTTCCATATGTGATATCACCATTATGAGTACATATATACTCAAAAATTAAAAATGTTGATTGAAAAAATTTTCAAAAATAAGAGTAGGTTGTCATAGTTGACTCGATTTGGCAAAATGAACCACTTAGGCCACTCCGATACTACACATGCTGGATGGCTTATTTTCTATTGTAAAATGAGTCTCATATTCTTCAAATTATTCTAAAAAAACAGAAACAGAAGAATAAGTGAAGACTAACCAAAGCTTGTTCCCTCAAATGCAAGCATATTGGATGGCTAGTAATACAGGGCTGTTGTCAAAACCAAAACAAAGACAAGCAGAGAGTAAACTTACCTGCCGTGGAACAGAGAACAAATGGAATGACAGCAGCAGCCCTCTCATCCCATTTATTAAAGAAACAGTAAGAAAAGATACAATGCAGGAAAAACACCAACCATCCTTCACATCAGGCTGAACAAAGCACAGTGATTCTCCCTTTCATCCCTCCACCCCCACCCTAGTTCCCCAATTCCCATCCATATCAGTTTTAAGTTTTGCAGTTCTTTGATTGGGAGTACCAGTGGAGAGGGAGCTGGATGATCGAAGGAACCTTAAATCTGGCCACCTCTAATTCCCAGGAGAAAGGAGTTGCAGGCCCAGACAAGCAGAAATGTGGGTCTGTGCTGTGGGTGTCCAAGCCCCCAGGGAAAGGTCTGGCAGTAGAACATGACCAGGTCCAGGATGCCCAGCCAGAGTTATTGAAGTGTGGCCTGCTCACCAACGCAGCATCACTTGATAGCAAGTGAGCCGACCTTCCAGTGGTGAGCGGGGAAACAGGACCTGCAGGCCAGTGTATCCCTGAGGAAAAGTCCACGAGAACAATTCAAGAAACCAGTAAGAAAAAAGGGGCAGAAAGCTGTGGGACAAAAGCACAGCAGGTTTCCAGAAGGCCAGCGACCCTTTTTCTTGAGGCCAGGATCATCCCTACCTGCCATAGTCCGTGTCTTCAGTCAAGAAAAAAAGCAGAGGAAAAAGAAGGCTCACTTGAACTTGAGCCCCAGCTATGTTCTTCAGACTGTAGCTCCACATCTACCTTTTTATCTAAAAGACAGGCCTAGCCCAGAACCACAGTGCTTGAAAAACAAAGTGGCCCTGGAAGAAAAATGGTAATTAAGGGGGTAACATCCCATTTGGGTACACTGCAGCCATTGGACCCCCTGGTCTAGGGAAAGCAGCTGGATTCGAGCCAGGGAGGCTGCCCACCCTAGGAAATGGGACCAAAGTCTTAACTACAGGGCCATTCATCCTTGGGAAGGAAGCTGGGTTAAGACCCAGGGACCCTGTTGGCCTCGCAAAAGGAGCTGGGTTGATACCCACCGGGCCAGCTGGAGAAGAGCCCAGGTGTCCAGCAGCTGACCTGGGGAAAGCAACTTGACCTGGGCCTAATGGACCAGCAGACCTCGGGAAGGCAGCTGGACCTGGACCAGCGGCCCTTGAAAAGTTAGCTGGGTTGGGGCCTAGTGCCCCAGAGGCTCTTGGAAAAATTGCTGGATTTGAGCCCTGGAGGCCAGTGGGCCTCTGAAAGGTACCTGGATTTGAAGCCAATGTGCCAGAAGACTGAGAGAAGGCAGACGGGTTCATTCCTCCTGATCCTGTCCCCCTTGGAAAGGCTCCAGCATTTACCCCCATGGGGCCACCTGGCCTTGAGAAATGAGCTGAATTAGGGCCCATGGGGCCAGGAGCCCTTGACATGGGAGAGGGATTTGGCCCTGGAAGGCCAATTCCTCGGGAGCTAGGACCTGTGTTTGGGCCTATGGGGCCAGGTACTCTTGTCATGGTGGATGGGTTTGTGCCCATGTTTCCAGAAGCCTGTGAAAAAGCTGAATTTGCTCCTAAAAGACCTGCTGCCCTCAGAATGGGGGCAAGATCTAAGCCTTGAGGTCCAGCCATTCTTAAGTTAAGACCAGAACCTGTACCCAAGAGGCCACCCGCTCTGGTATCCAGATTTGGGCCTGGGCCTAGGCCACCAGCTCTTGGGTTGGGCCCAAGGCCTGGACCTAAGCCACCAGCTCTTGGGTTGGGCCCCAGGCCTGGGCCTGGAAACATACCCGACCTAGGGCCTGGGTTTGTACCTAAAAAGCTTGATCGCAGGTTTGGACTTGGTCCAGGACCCAGGCCAACTGGCCTAGGATTGGGAGGACCAGTCCCAGAGGACAAAACACCTGCCCTCAGGTTGGGTCCACAACCAGGGCCCATGGGGCCACCACTTCTAGGGTCAGGACTCGCTCCCAGGAGCCCACCTGCCCTCGGGTTGGCCATTGGACCAGGGCCAGGAAGGCCTCCTAATCTGGGGTTAGACATAGGCCCTGGGCCTGGAAGAGCCCCTGTTCTAGGGTTTAAACCTGGTCCTGGTCCTGGTCCCAAAAGGCCACCTGGCCTTGGGAAAGAAACTGCACCTGTGCCAGCGGGATTCATCCCTCTTGGAAAAGAAGCCATGCTTGGGTCACGAGCACCAGCAGGAAAATGCGCTGGATTCGATGCCAATGAGCCTGATGAACTTGGAAACGGAGTTGGATTCCTTGGAAATGGAGCCAGGTTTCCACCAAGAGAACCCGCTGCCACAAGAAAAGGATCTGAGTTCACACCCATTGGGTGGCCTGTGTTCATAACAGGCCCTCCCTGTGGTCCCAGGGAACCGTCCAGCCGTCCTCGAGGTGGCAACGGAGCACGAGTCCAAGGAGTTGGCCGCTCTCTAGGGAAAATCCGGGGTTCTTTCATACTTTCTTGGGGACGTTGGTGATAATAGGCTTGGGGCGAGTTTTGAAAAGGATCTTGTTTTTGATGAGTGCTGTCACCAAGTACCGGGTGCCAGTCTCTCGACCAAGCTCATCACAGTCCTGCTCCCCAGGAGTGTGTTTGACAAGGACTGCGAAAGGTTTCTCCAGGTGGATGATTTTCCCATACAGGATATGATGCCCCACGATCAGCACAGGGATTCCCTTTGGCAGAACAAGAAGGAGATGCCTGAGGTTGAGGGCCAGGCCATTCCTCTCAGGTGCCTTTTAAAGCTGCTCTTGGCAGCAATGCTGGCACCTCCAATCCCTGGTCTGGCTCTATCATTGTTAAAAACCATATTGGGCCATCCACCCTTGTGCCCTTTTTATTCTTTCTAGCCCCATGTAAAGAGCATTTCTACTCATAGGATCCTTGCAGATTCTCCAAGGCTCCATTTCCCTGCTACTGCAGAAGTAGGAGGACAGCAAGCAGATAGCTCTGCAGACTGGCTAAACCTGGAGTAACAAACCTGAGGACAGCCCTCACGCTGGGTCCTGGGAGCACCACCTTGGTGTAGCTTGCTTTACTGAGGCACAGGCAGGGAAAGAAAAGCCCCCTCACCTCAGTGGTGTAATGGAGGTCTCCCAGGAGGTTTCCAGCTAATCCAGTGCTGTAGCGAGCCTCGATCTCCCCCTGTAGCTCCATCAGCACCCATTCTGCCAGGCCTCCAGCCCCCGCACTGCAAGCAAAGGGCTGGCGGTTACAATATTTTTGAACGCTGAAGGAGAGTAGTGTCCTACACCTACACCACCATCAGAGGCCCAAAGGAACTCTCTGTTGGATACAAGTTCTTAGGAAACTGGGCAGTTCTGGGAACTGAAATATTTTAATGCAAATATTTATGTAAAATATACCTGAGACCCCTAATTCCTCCAGAAACCAACAAAGCCCTTGACATTTAAGCTAAGTAAAATCTTAAAACGTACTCACCTGGAAATAACAATTTGCACCATGAGCCTTCCTTCTTTAAAAACCAACTGAAAAACTAGAGAAAAAAGAAAACATACCTTTTAGGGCAGCAATAATTATAGCTAATATTTATCATTTAATTGTGTGACAGGTACCTTTTTCCCCTTTAGAGAGAATCTCTAGTCCAGGCTGTCCCTGAACTCTCTACGTAGCTTAGGATGAGCTCAAGTTTCTAATTCTCCTGCCTCTACCTCCAGCTTACATGTTGCTAGGGACCCAACCCAGGGCTTCACACATGCTAGGCTAACATTCTATCAACTCAGTTTTATACTACCAGCCCAATCTGTGGAAGGCACTCATAATTCTAAGTGCTTTTAAACATGTTATTATCCTAGCAATACCAAAAGGGCTGTTTTCTTGCTGATTCTGAATATATATATTACAGCTGTTAATGACAACTGTTGGAGTGGAGATGGTAAGGTGGCTTCTTTTTCTTTCTTTTCTTTTGAGATAGAATTTCACTATGTAACTGTGGCTTCTTGGAACTGTGTAGACCAGACTGGCCTCAAAGTTACCAGAGATCCATCTGCCTCTGCCTCCTGAGTTGTGGGATTAAAGGCATAGGCCACCACACCTGGTAGTTAGCTGATTTCTAATGTGACACTCAACTACAGTTATCACCCTTCGCTTAGAGGCGGGGGAAATGCCTACACTTTCACGTTACACAACAGCGCCACCAGGTGGCAATTTGGAGTACCCTAAAAGCTTGATACTACCTGGCTGCATTTGCCCTTGTGTCTGCCATTCTGAGGCAGACTGAGATTGGATTGGGGGACCAAAGCTACGGTTTCTTGTTGTCTTTTGCATGAGTGTAAAAAGCCATGGCGTAAAAAGTCAGCAGGTTTTATACCTGTACTCAAACTCAGCAAAAATAATAATCAGGACTTTTTTTTTTTTTTTTTTTTCCTGTTTAAGCCAACTTCTTGCAACACAACCAAAGCTGGCCTGGTACTCGGTATGGTATACTCTTAACTTAGCCTCCAGAGAGCTAGGACTACAGCTGGCCATCAGCATGTCATGCAACAGGCTTCTTTAGCAATTATCATCACTGTGGGCCTCCAGTTGGTGTATGACAGAACCTCTCTCCAGAGCACCAAATACACTGTGTCAGCACCTAACATATTTGATTTTTCACTATGGACCACATGCTATGCACATATGTACATGGTATCGCAACCAACATGGCAACTCTGATAATAAGCACTTATTGTTTATTATTGCAGGTGAGGCTACTGGGTGATATATAGATCAAAATCACATATTCATATGTGATACATACTCAAATGGAGTATAGATAGTAAAGCCAAGACAGGAAACTGGGCCATCTAGTTACTTAATTTTCCTTTCCCAAAGGACAAAACCAAGTGTCAGCAAGAATGAAAAGGAATCAAGAAATTAGCCAGGCAGTGGTAAGATACTTAAGTGCTTTTCACAACAGCAAAAGGTCACCAAGACTAGAACTTTGAATAAATTAGGTCTCTGTACCCAAACAGGTTGTGGCCCCACTAAGAAAAGGCAATATATCAGCTTCAAAGGCAAAGACTGTTGTACATGTAACAGACTATTCACAGAACCTAACCTAAGTAGTTTTTTGAAACAAGGGCCATGTTTGACCTTGCAACCCTTCTGTTTCAATCTCCTGAATAATGGATTAAAGGCACGTGGCAGTAAGCCTGCTTCCAAAGCACTTCTGAAGTAGAGGAATCCAAACTGAGAAGGCTGAAGTTCAGGTTCCAGCTTGTAAAGTGGAAAGCTACTGTATGATCACACAGGTCACTAGATGACTAGGGGCTAACACCTAGATTATGACTCACTAGTATCATGACTAAATATTACACATGCAAGATTGTTTAGACTCACATCCTATGGAGAAGAGCTAATTTTTTAGATTGTGAAGCAAGCAATTCAGCTTTCTGACACTCTATGATTATAATTCACAGAGTATGCAATACACAGGTTGTGAAAGGCCAATGCTGCACAGACGTCTAAGGCAGAAGGCAAGGAATGACATCTAATGTCTTTCATATTCACACATGCATAGATTCACCTTACACATAACAAAATACCATACTTCCTGAAAATTCATTCCAATTTTTATGTGCTTTTTAGCAACAGGAATGAGATGCGTTAGAGGCAGTGTGAATGCAAGGTATTTTTAGTGCATTCTTTGCTTCCTGGACAGTCTCCTATCAGAATAGGAATTCACAATAAACTAAGAAAAGCAGACATCTGACCTCTGAGCCAGGGTGGCACTTGCATACCAACCCATGCAGCTTCAATTGAACACATACATCTTTATATACAGAGGCAAGAAGCGTTGCCTGAGTTATTTCTATTAATACTGGCAAACATTTGGCAATGCCAGATAGAAAACAGTAATATTGTGGCCCACAGCCTGGCCATTCGGTTGCTGTACCCCCATCAATCCTGTAAAACCTGTCTTACGCTAAATCTAATTGTGTGGTTTACAAGTATATAAGAAGAAATGCAAGCCCTGTGTGTCAGTCTAGCTTATAGGCACCTGTATATTGATATTATATGTATGTGGTTTGTGTTTATGAGGGTATATTTACCAAACACTGGGGAGTGTTTAAATTCTCTTTAGTAAACTTCAAAATTCTACTTTCAGGCCTTAAAATTTTAATACTTTTCTTGCGCCTAGAGCTCACTAGATGTCCGTAGGGTTAAATTAAGTATTGCTCTGAGGATACAGCTGATGGAGGTGACAGGAGAGGACCATGTAGTCCAGTTAGCATACAGTTTATTCAAAAGGCTATGAAAGGCCTGGTGTGGGGCTATGTGTCTGTAATCCCAGTACTCGGTAGGCTGAGTCCCTTCCAGCTACATAGTAAGACCCTGTCTCTAAAAACAAAGATGGGTATGAGAGTGACCATCTTAATCTGTACCTACTTCCTAGTGAATAGCAGGAGAGGAAAAAAACAAAACTGAATCGGTGGAGGTCAAGTATAGCATATAAGCAAGCAGAACACCTATAACTGAAAACATGAAATGCTTCCAAATATGGGGGAAAAAAACACATAGTATCAAATTTCAGGATTTTTCAGTTTTCTCAGTTTAGGGATGCTCATCTGCCAAGCCTATGCAAATACTCCAATATCTGAAGCACTTCTAGTGTGAAATTTGAATGATGCTTAACCTGTTACAAGCCAAATTTTGTTAATAGTTAACAAAGAACAAAATTACAATGAAAATTCTCTGTTGGCATCCATTTCTCATTGGTCTAGGTTGGTCTAAGATCTGGCTTCTTTAGAAAGCAGTATAAAAAGAGCTCATATCAATAATCTTCTGGAACACTTACTGGATCACCTCATTTCATCCTGACAACCAGCTGGAGTTAGACATGGTCATCACCCTCCTTTACAGATAGGGAAACGTTTGGAAAAGCTAAAGGTTAAGCAACTGGGCCACTCAGTTAATAAATAGTAAAGCTAGATGTGACCCTAACCACTCTCTAGTACGGTCCTTCTGTGGTCCTCTCACTAGCCCCTCCTCATAAGAACTCTGAGATCCAGCTGCCTTGCAATTGGTCCCATTCCCTTACACAACTGCAAACAATCTTGTCCCCTGCCATGTAAGTAGCTAATAATCCAAGCTAATACAACAAAGTAGTTAACAATAAGCTAGCTATTATCCTTTCTAAGTTTAGGGGTTTTTTTACACCTTTAAAAATGATACACTAAACCCTCTGCCCCTCATAAGGGAAAAACAAGCCAAGAGGGCTAAGGACTTTTTTGCCATGGGCTCCACTTTAATCTTTGTCCAAATTCAATTCTATCCTTTGCTTTCTAAATCATTACATATTAAAGGATTACTAATGTCTTAGAGAACAGCCTGATCAATGACCCTCATAATAGTTAACTTTCCAAGACAAAATGTGGTGTATGTACCTAATCACACAAATAGAAAAACAAAGGATTATGACTCAATGATTTGATCTAATTATACAAAATCTT